CACAATGGTGGCCCACCTCCATGAACTGGCTACACTTTGATTTTTAAGTAGATATGGTTTTGCCCCTGTTGCCGGCACTGCCCTTCCGAAGTTGCACTCCAGGTGATCCACCGCCCTAGCCTCCCCAAAGTCTGGGCTCACAGGCAATGAAAGCCTCCGTGTCCAGCCCTCTTCTTCATTATTATTATTTGTTTGTTTGTTTTTTTATATTCCTGGATGTGACGCATAACATCCTAAATTTTTTATTCTTTTTTTTTTTTGAGACAGGCTCACTCATCACCCAGCCTGGAGTTCAATGAATGAGATCATGGCTCCTGCAGCCTCAAACTTCTCGGCTCATTCCCGAGAACCGAGGACCGACAAGGCAACGGTGCACCCGGTGGCTCACGCCTGTAATCCCAGCACTTTGGGAGGCCGAGGCAGGCAGATCACGAGGTTAGGAGTTCGAGACCAGCCTGGCCAACATGGTAAAACTCATCTCTACCAAAAATACAAAAATTAGCCTAGCATGGTGGTGCACACCTGTAATCCCAGCTACTCAGGAGGCTGAGGCAGGAGAATTGCTTGAACCTGAGAGGCAGAGATTACAGTGAGCTGAGATCACACCATTGCACTCCAGCCAGGCAATAGAGTGAGACTCCATCTCAGAAAAAAAAAGGAAAAAGAAAAGAAATTGCAAAGAACAAGTCACACCCAAATAAACCGAAGAAAAAAAATTCACAAAAATAAAGGCAGAAATTAAAGAGAACACCCAAAACAATTACACAATAGAGAACATCAACAAAATTAAAGCTGTTTTATAAAAAAGAACTGACAAAACTAATAAAGAAAACAGCAGACCAGAAGTCACCAAATCACAAAATGGAAAAATAAATACTATACAAACACAACGGAGTTTAACATAACAATAAAAGAATAAAATGAGGCTGGGCACAGTGGCTCACGCCTGTAATCACAGCACTTTGGGAGGCGGAGGCGGACGGATCACGAGGTCAGGAGATCAAGACCATCCTGGCCAACATGGTGAAACCCCGTTTCTACTACAAATACAAAAATTAGCAGAGCGTGGTGGTGGGCACCTGTAATCCCAGCTACTCAGGAGGCTGAGGCAAGAGAATCGCTTGAACCCAGGAGGTGGAGATTGCAGTGAGCCGAGATCGTGCCGCTGCACTCCAGCCTGGCGATAGAGCAAGACTTCATTTCAAAAATAATAATAATAATACAATAAAATGAGCAACTATTTGACAACCTACATAAAATAGGTAAATATCTGAAAAAAGAAAAAAATCATAAAATCCCAAAATTAATACAAGAGAAAAAAGACATTTGAAGGGGCTAATAAAATTTAAAGTAATTGACATGACTATCAAGGACATCCCCAACCTCACTGCCAACATAAAAGGCCCTGCTCAAAGTGGTTTTGCTACTGAGTTGGCAATTTTCAAGGAACAGAAAATAGCCATTTATTTGCAAATCCTTCCAGAAAATAGAAAATGAATGATAGCCTCCTTTCTTGAGGCTGGGATAACTTGATTTCTAACCTATGCAGTGTCAGAACAAGAAAAGGAAATTATGGGTCCTTTGCGCTTGTGAGCACGGATGTACAAATTGAAATAAAATATTAACCATCTGAATCCAACAGAAAGTTACAAATATTTCACAGTTAAAAAAAAATTAGGCTGGGTGCGGTGGCTCACGCCTGTAATCCCAGCACTTTGGGAAGCCGAGGCGGGCAGATCATGAGGTCAAGAAATTGAGACCATCCTGGCCAACACAGTGAAATCCTATCTCTGCTAAAAATACAAAAACTAGCTGGGCGTGGTGGCATGCACCTGTAGTCCCAGCTACTCGGGAGGCTGAGGCAGGGGAATTGCTTGAACCCAGGAGGCGGAGGTTGCAGTGAGCCAAGATCACGCCACTGCACTCCAGCCTGGTGACAGAGCAAGACTCTGTCTCAAAAAATAAAATAAAAAAAAAGAGTACATCATGCTCAAATAGTGTTTGTCATAGGAATGCAACTGTAGGGCAGCATCAAACCTCTCCACATGTAGCTGGGCACAGTGCCTCACACCTATAGTCCCACACTTTGGGAGGCCGAGACAGGCAGATCCACTGAACACAGGAATTTGAGATCAGCCTGGGCAGCATGATGAGACTCTGTCTCTACAAAGTAGCCACACGTAGTACCATATTCCTATAATCCCAGCTACTTGGGAGGCTGAGGTGGGAGGATCACTTGAGCCCAGGAGGTGGAGGCTGCAGTGAGCTGTGATCACACCACTGCACTCCAGCCTGGGTGACAGAGTGAGACCCTGTGTCAAAAAAACAAACAAAAACTCTACACATGGGTGATTGCCTGACATGTGATAAGTAAGTTCCGTAAGTATTAGTTATCATTATTGGCTGTTAATAATGGCAGAAAAGTGTACACCATTACAACTTTGGAAGATAATTTGACATTGTCTTGTAAACTTGAACATTTATATAACCTCCAACTCAGCAATTCCACTCCAAGTAATATGCCCTAAAATTAGCAAAATGTGCTTGTGTACAATTGTAGACACATAAAAGAATGTTCTTAGCAGCTGTCTTTAAAATAGCTAAGAAAAAAAAGAAGCAACCCAGACGTCCATCCCCAGGAACAGGAATAAATAACTTGTATTGTAATCAATCACACAATGGAATGCTGTTCAGCAGTGGGGTTACAGGGAAGAAAGTAAGGGTCAAAGATCAGCTGGGTGCGGTGGCTCACGACTGTAATACCAGCACTTTGGGAGGCTGAGGCAGGTGGATCACCTGAGATCAGGAGTTGGAGACCAGCCTGGCCAACATGGTGAAACCTCATCTCTACTAAAACTACAAAAAAATTAGCCGGACGTGGTGCTGGGCATCTGTAATCCCAGATACTCGAGAGGCTGAGGCAGGAGACTCGCTTGAACCCAGGAGGTGGAGGTTGCAGTGAGCTGTGATCGCACCATTGCACTCCAGCCTGGGCAACAGAGCAAAAACCCTGTTTCAAAAGAAAAAAAAAAAAGAAAGAAAGGGTAAAAGATGAAAGTGAAAAATTTGTTAAAACCAAAAGAAGTGATTTGCATGTCAAACGAGCATAGTATGCTATACTCTGCAAGTGAGAAGGAAAAAAATTCAAAGACAAGGATTTATCATAAGGATATATTGTTATTTCATAGACTCCAAAGACAGTAATGTAGCCAAGGAACTAAAGTTAACACCTAGGAAGCTTCTAGGTCTCTTTCTCCATCTCTCATCTCTACTTCTCCATATGGATTTGTTACACTTTTCTCTCTCCATAAACTTATTTCCTTTGTATCTTCTGCAGGTTCACAGTCAGGACAACTGCTTCACACTTGTTAAATGTGTTAAGTGTGGTTCTAACCATGTAATGAGTATGACCTAATTCTTCCTAGGCCCCAGTTTAAAATTTCCAGAAAAAAGAATTCTACAGAGTGTCAAGCAGTTGCCCCCCAAACTGTGGATCATACGGAACAAATGCAGCTGCCAGAGGTCTACTCCTGTAACCTATGGATCCAGGTGGCAACTCTCAAAAGAGGGAATCCTGATAGCTGGGCAGGTACCTATTTGCAAATGACCCATGCAAGTATCAGACTGACACTCACGTACAGATCAAAGGACAAGGATCTTGACTCACGCCCTAAATCTGGGATTCCAAGTGCAGTCATTTTGTCTACACCCCCAACCTACTTGTCATTTGGAGTGATTCTTAAAAGGCTCGGGAGAGTGATCCACGTGAAGTGGCAGGGCAGTCTAGACAGAGGAAGCACCACAGTTAGAAACAAGGAAGAAAAAAATGTGCATCAAAACAGGAATGGCTGGACCAAGCGCGGTGGCTCATGCCTGTAATCCCCAGCACTTTGGGAGGCCAAGGTGGGCCTCCCACTTGAGGTCAGGAGTTCGAGGCCAGCTTGCCCAACGCGGTGAAACCCTATCTCTACTAAAAATACAAAAAAAAGTAGCTGGGCATGGTGGTGCACCTCTCTAGTCCCAGCTACTCAGGAGGCTGAGGCAGGAGAATCACTTGAATCCAGGAGGCGGAGATTGCAGTGAGCCGACCACTGTACTCCAGCCTGGGTGAAAAAAAAAAAAAAACCAGGAAGGCTGGACCCCTGTTGTGACTACTGCACAGATTCCATATTGGGATCCCAAATGGAGGAAAGAAACGCAGGTTTGATAGAGTCAGATTGTGAAAGGGTTTGTATGTCAGCCATTTTGAACTTCAGTTTGAAACATAGGAAAGGTTTGAAAAGCGAAGCTTCTGGAGCATAGATGTGTCATGATATCATGCACAGTTTACAAAAATAAATCCAACAGCAATGTGGAGGGCAAAGCATTAGTGTAACCACCAATGTTAAATGACAAAAACCTATAATCTCCGCTGATGAAAATTATTTCTTGGATTTAATCTAATCTTCAACTTAGTTTGTATTTATTGGCAAATATCTCCCAGATAAATCAGAGAAGTTGTTAAGCAGTCATTGCTCTTGGCCAGTAAATATGCAGTTTATTCACAGAATCCTCCTCTTCACCACCTGCAGAACAGAAGGAGAACATGCACCTTCACCCCAGCGTAGTTGGAGGACACTATAAACAAAGAGTCCACGAAGAAGCTTCATCATGCCTCGTGGGAAAAGTTAGCACATTACCAAAACCATGCAGTCTGTTTATGGACCTTGAGTAGGAGATGCTCTGAAAGTAAGTGATACGAACAAGCCATACTTTAAGCAAGATGCTCTCAATGTGCTGTACTTCTATATGAATACCGGCATTTCATTCTAATCCACTTATGAAGGTAACATGTTCTGTGTATGTGCTCATTTTTCCAAACTTAGGTAATTTACCAACATCTGGTTTCAATTAAGTTTCACAGCCCATTACTTTTGACTAGCCAGTAATATCCCTATGGTGATAATAGCACCTATGCATTTGTGAACTCTTCTTATAGTCCATCTTTGTTTAAACTAATACCACAACAGTTCATGTGCAGACAGTTGCTGGAGGAGAATTTTATTTCATTATGCAGTTCTAAGCAGCTGAGGCATAATCAAGGTTCGTGAAAGGGAAAATAACAGAGCAAGAGCAATACATTGGTGGTAGGCAGGAGCATAAGGCAATTAAGATCCTTCATGCACAGCTTTGTCCCTTCTGCACATAGAAGGCCAGAAAGCATCTCTTCTTTTCTTTTTCCGCTGGGATTTCCTCCTGTCATAGGCAGAAGGGCAGTTTTTGTCCCCTTATGTAATGAGGAAAGTCAAGAAATACAAAATGTATTTTTATTTTATGTATTTATTTTTATGTTTTTGTGACAGAGTTTTGCTCTTGTTGCCCAGGCTGGAGTGCAATGGCGTGATCTCGGCTCACTGCAATCTCTGCCTCCTGGGTTCAAGCGATTCTCCTGCCTCAGCCTCCTGAGTAGCTGAGATTACAGGCGCCTGCCACCACACACGGCTAATTTTTTGTATTTTTAGTAGAGACGCGGGTTCACCATGTTGGCCAGGCTGGTCTCGAACTCCTGACCTCAGGTGATCCACCCGCCTCAGCCTCCCAAATTGCTGGGATTACAGGTGTGAGCCACCACACCTGGTCGAGAATGTATTTTTAGAATGGAAATAATAACAGCCTTCCTTCCTTCCTATTATGAAGATCTGATGAGAAGCATTTGAGATTCCTTTGCAAGCTGTAAAGGGAAAACCTGCTGCTGTCCCAGCCTTGCCTAAAGCCCTCCGATGTCCCATAGGACCTGGGAATGAAGTCCAGAGTCCATGCCTTAAAGATTCTTCCTACCTGGACTTGCCTCTGCAGACATCTTTCTCTCAGCCACATCCCACCCTAGGCTGCACCCATCCAGTGCCCTTCACAGGCCCTGGGTACCCCCATGGGCTCAGGCCCATTCCCTCTGTCTACACCCTTTCTTCCCTGTTCCTCCCGTTCACCCGCCTCTAGCTGGGTGTTCCTCTGAAATGCCAAAACTTGTGTTTTGCCCTAAGGCAGAATCTCTCAACAGCAACACCACTAACATGTTGGGCATGATAGTTTTTTGTTAGTTTTTTGTTTGTTTTTTGTGGAGGGTCGTCCTGTGCACTGTAGGGTGTTCAGCAGTATCAATGACTTCTACCCACTAGGTGCCAACAGCACACCGCTCCAGTTGTGACAAACAAATACGTCTCCAGACATTGCCAGCGTCCTCTGGGAAGCAAAATTGTGCCAGTTGAGAATCACTACACTCAAGTGCTGCTTATATTAGGGTCAACTGTAATTCAGCTATGTTCAGATGTTTAAAAAATGAATAAATAAAAATGCATGGCCAGGCGCAGTGGTTCATGCCTGTAATCCCAGAACTTTGGGGTGCTGAGGCGGGTGGATCACGTGAGGTCAGGAGTTTGAGACCAGCCAGGCTAACAAGGTGAAACCCTGTCTCTACTAAAAATACAAAAATTAGCCAGCGTGGTGGCGAGCGCCTGTAGTCCCAGCTACTCGAGAGGCTGAGGTGGGAGAATTGCTTGAACCTGGGAGGTGGAGGTTGTGGTGAGCCGAGATCACGCCACTGCACTCCAGCCTGGGCAACAGAGCAAGACTCTGTCTCAAAAAGAAAAAATAAATTGAAAAAATTTAAAATGCAGTGTTCTTCATTTGTTTGTCGTAGTCATCTGATCTTGCTTTCAAGCCACAAAGCTGCCATCATACTGGTGAGAAAAAATACTTTGTCTTGCTAATTAGAGGTACTATGTTCTTTTCTGCTTTAAATTGTGTGTGTGTGTGAAATGTGAAAAGCTCCTCTATGAAATTTGATTTCATATGTACTCATGAATAGCAGCTTCTCTCGAAACTTATTCATTTCAGAGTAAGTAATAAGTTTGCCTCTGAGCACATACATATCCTAAAGGTTTGTTTTGTTTTGTGTCTCTGAAGTGGGGCAGAATGAGCTGGACATGCGTAGGGTTCTTGATTAAAAGTCTGGGCAGTTAGGGCGGGGACAGCCAGGGGACTTTCATTCCGGCCTTCTCTCTGTCTAGCTCCATTTGTAGCTTACTACCCAAGCAGGGGCGTATTGGATTCAGCTCCTCTCTAAAGATTCTCGGGATTTTCCTAGTATTTACCCAAAGAAGAGAAGACAAACATCCCCTATTCTGAGATCTCCCCAAAACTTTTCTGGTTATTAAAACCTCCCCACTCCCCCAAATTTGAGGTGGAAGATGGTAGAAGACATGTCCAAGTGGGTTACCTCCTCTGCCCTCTTCCTCCTCTGCCTCTCTTCTTAGAACCAAATGGGCTCTGTTTCTCCTTCTCTGCCTGCCTAGAAGGGATTTCTCCTAATGCCACATCCTCATCCTTTTCTAGAAATGGCATTCTCTGTTCCCCTTCGGTGCAGCCATTATGGCAGAAGGGCTGCAGTGAAAGGCTCATTGAAGAACAGTTAATTCAAAAGCACTATTTCTTGACACATTGATCAGACAATATTTAGTCATGTACTTCCTTGTTTGTGGACCCAGTAGGGCAGGATTGTGCTTGCCATGAGAACCATTGTACCCCCAGCTCTTAGCAGAATGCTATGTAACAAATTACCAGGAGGGTAGTGGCTTAGAAGAACACGTTTATTATCTCACAGTTTCCACGGATCAGGAGTCCAAGCATGGTGTAACTGAGTCCTTGGCTCAGTCTCACAAAGCTGATGTCACAATCAGATATCAGCCACTATAAGATAGGGTCTCATCTGAGACTCAAGGTCCCCTTTTAAGGTTGTTGGCCAACTTCACTTCCTTGCAGTTACAGAACTCATGATCTGTACAGAACTCAAGGCCAACAGGAGACTCTTTCTGATACTTCTAAGACTTTCATCTAATTTAGACCCACCCAGGATAATTTCCTTTTTGATCAACTCAAAATCGACTGATTTGCAAAATCCCTTAACCTGGACGCAGTGGCTCACACCTGTAATCCCAGCACTTTGGGAGGCTAAGACAGGTGGATCACTTGAGGTCAGGAGTTCCAGACCAGTCTGGCCAACATGCTGAAACCCTGTCTCTGCTAAAAATACAAAAATTAGCCAGGCATGGTGACAGGCACCTGTAGTTCCAGCTACTTGGGAGGCTGAGGCAAGAGAATCGCTTGAACCCAGGAGGAGGAGGTTGCAGTGAGCCGAGATTGCACCATTGCACCCTAGGCTGGGCAACAGAGAGACTCCATCTCAAAAAAAAAAAAAAAAAAAAGCCCTTAACCTTTTCCATAATACAAACCTTAATCACAGGAATGGCACCCATCATATTCATAGGTCCTGCTTGTCTTCAAAGGGAGGAAACCATACCAGGGCCTGGGTCACTGGGAGGTCATCTTAGAGATCTGCCTGCCACAGGACCCCAAAAAATGTGTCGGCTGAAAGAAGGAGTGAAGGCATGTGTCCCATTTGTCTTCACACTCCGAGTGTAAGTAGTATTATCTTAACTTATAGAAAAACACATTCGATTTGAGAGAGCAGAAAATGATTTGTCTTTGTTCAAAGAGGTAGAAATTATAGGACAAGCCTCCAGACTGAAGTCTGTCTGAATCCTTAGCCCTTTATCCAGTGAAATGTTTCCTCTGGAACCTCATGCCTGCCAGGCTGTCTCAGGCCAGAGCCCCGCCACAAGCTGGCTCAGCCTCTCTCCTTCCACTCACCAGGCTAGAGCCACAGGGTCAGATCACTTTTCGTCCTCCCACAGATGAAACCCCAGGCACCAGGCTGCCCCACAGACCCCAGAGGCCAGTTCAGGGCACACCAGGGCTTCTGGACACTGAGGGAGGACAAGGATCAGCTTGTCCCTGCCCCGAGGTTTCGCCTGACAGCCCATCTCGAGACCAGTTGGCACCTGTCGGTTCTCTCTCCGGGTGGAGAAGAGGAAGCTGGTGAGCCGTTTCTTCTCTGTGCTCCTCCTGCCCTTCAGATGCTTCATAAGTGGGGCCCTTGCTAGTGGGAATGGGGGTGGACAATGGTCCCTAGACTACAGAAAGGCAGGCATCCTGGGAAGCCCTGGGAGAAGGTCTGGAGCCAGGTTGGACAGCAATGAGAGAGTTTTACACACGTGAAAATAGAACTTGTGAGAGAAGAGTGACAGACTAGGGTCCTCCTTTGATCTGCTTTCCCGTCACTCCTTCCCCACGTCCCTTTGATTATGCACTGGATATTGTACATCTTCTATGTGTCTGGCACATGATGCCTTCTATTTCTTCCCTACCCCTTAATTTCTCCTAGTCTATTAGTGTTTTGTTTTTTGTAGAGACGGGGTCTTGCTGTGGTTCCCAAGATGTTTTCCAACTCCTGGGCTCAAGCGATCTTCCCACCTCTGCCTCCCAAAGCGCTGGGATTTTACAGGTGTGAGCCACCACACCCAGATTTGCTTAAGATCTTTAATAAACAATAATCTTTATGTCTGCCTTTGTGTTGACAGACTTACATTTTTATCACATGGAAACTCCATTACATATTACAGTCCCTCCATGATAGTAAAATCTATATAATGTTAACCATATCCCACCACAATTTCATAGCATGCCAGGAGGAAATCCACAGTGGAAGATAGTTGTTTGTATATTTTCATAATCTACTTTAGGCTTTAATTGCAATGAGGCAATAACAGAGGGATATGAATACATTAATCTGTGGCTGACTCTTTGTCATTCACTTCATGTTGACTACTCCCATTGAAATTCAAGCATCTCTC